ATAGCCGGGCATTGTGGCGGGCGCCTGTAGTCCCAGCTACTTGGGAGGCTGCGGCAAGAGAATCGCTTAAGCCCAAGAGTTTGAGGTTGCTGTGAGCTGTGACACCACGGCACTCTACCAAAGGCGACACAAGACGCTGTCTCAAAATATATAGATATAAAATAAATAAATCACATCTTGATTCTTCTCCATCTTCATCTCATCTTTGTCAATGTGGGAAGATGGGAGAAGGGTAAGTTCTCTAAGGAGTCTTCGTCAGAAACCAGAAAGTAAACCTCTTGTTGTGAGAGAATTCCTGCTGCTTGGAGGTTCTTTTGTGGGTGTTTTATACATTTTTTAAAAAGGTGACCTGTACCCTTGTGCGTGCAAGATGGCAGGTCATGTTTTCTAAAGCTGGACTGTGCACCGGAATGACTCGAGGCGGTTTTTCAAAGTACAGATTCCAACCCTCCTTCCCAGATTATCAGAACCAGAGGATTTAGGGTCAGGCTCAAGGCACTGTTTACTGTGATTATTATTTAATCTTCCTGGCTGATCATAGCCAATCGTGCTTGTGAATGTTTAACAGTGTTGAATTCTAATGCAGCTTTTCTCCGAAGAGCATTTTTGAAGCAGATGCTGGAAGATACAAACATAGATTCAAACTACCTGCTTTCCCAGGAGGCTCCTGGTTGAGACCCCAGAGAATAGTCAGTATTTTATACCACGGTGTTCCCCCACCCCCAATCAAGTTCTATGGTAGAGAAAGGAAGGAGCATGGCCCCCACACTTGGCTGGGCTTTTTATTCCGTCAGGCATCTTGTCCTCTTAACATAAGTGAGTGCTGATGAATTAGGAGTGGAGAAATATTTCAAGGCTGACTCATGACCCAGTGAGAGAGTTTGCAGTGGTATGACACCTGCTCTAATCGCCTTTTATTTCTTCAGATTCATTTTTTAGTTGTTCTGGAGACAGAGTTGCACTCTATCACCCTGGATAGAGTGCCACGGTGTCAGCCTAGTTGACAGCAACCTCCAACTCTTAGGCTCAAGAGATCCTCCTGCCTCAGCCTCCTGAGTAACTGGGGCTACAGGACCCACAACACCCAGCTAGTTTTTCTATTTTTAGTAGAGACTGGGTTTCACTCACTCTTGCTCAGGCTGATCTCAAACTCCTTAGCTTAAGCGATACTCCTGCCTCAGCCTCCTGAGTAACTGGGACCACAGGACCCACAGCACCCAGCTAGTTTTTCTATTTTTAGTAGAGACTGGGTTTCACTCTTGCTCAGGCTGATCTCCAACTCCTGACCCTAAGCAATCCTCCTGCCTCCACCTCCCAGAGTGCCAGGATTACAGGTGTGAGTCACTGCACCCAGCCTCAACTATTTTTTTCAACATAAAGTTCGGTACACATCAGTGTTTATAATTTTTACTTCAGCCAACAAACATAACTTAGAAAAGATCAGAAGAAAAGTCTATTGCATTTGCCCACGTTTTTAACCTTTCCATTGTTTATTTATATTTTTTGCAGGCTTTTTTGGCCGGGGCCAGATTTGAACCCACCACATCCAGCATATGGGGCCAGCGTCCAACTCCTTTGAGCCACAGGTGACGCCAATCCTCCAAAGATTTTTTTATTTGTGCTTAGTTTTGGGGCATTTGTGTATGATCAACATTTGGGTGGAATTTTTTTTTTTCATTCAATCTTTACATTCTGATTTACTTTGCTTCCTATAAGTTTATATCTTTTGCCTAGTTGGGGAAATTCCCCATGGTTATTTCTTCAAGCACTTAGTTTTTTAGCCCCACCGTCTTTCTGTTTCTTTCCAGGCCTGCCTGCTAGCTTCCTGGGGTTGCTAACATTCTTTTGCTCTCCTGGGCTTGTGGATACATCACCTCAATCTCTGCCTTGATGCTCTGCTGGTGCTTCTAGTGTGTAGGGTGGGTCTCTTGTGTCCAATTTCTTCCTTTTTATTTAGTTCTGTTGAATTAAAGCCCCGTAAGCACCTCATGTTAAATTCAGTATGTGCAAAGATTTTATCTGCATGGAATGTCATGTATCTGAGTTGCTAGGTCTTCAACTCCTTTTGGGCCACCAGGGGTCCTCAAACTTTTTAAACAGGGCACCAGTTCAGTGTCCCTCAGACTGTTGGAGGGCTGGACTGCGGGCCCCAGGATGAGTTGGCTGCTAAGCAGGACAGGCAGCACGTCAAAAACACCCAGTGGGCCGGATAAATGTCCTTGGCAGGCTGCATGTGGCCTGCGAGCCATAGTTTGAGGACCCCTAGACCCAATAGATAATTGTAATTGTACAATTTGGCAAAGCAAAGATATTTATGAGCTAATATTTGTGAGCTATTATGTGAGCTTTCTAGGATCATATAACCAATTCTCACAAATTGAATGATTCAAAACCACAGCAGGGCATGCAGGAGTTGTGGGGATTGGCGTGTCTTGTAGAAAGACAGACTTTAGCCACATTAGATGGATAAAACGGATGCCTTGTGCAAGCCGAATCAGCAGTCTTGGAGTCCCAATTCTAAAGGTGTGGCATCTGCATAGAATGTCAAATGCAGAAAGAACAGTGGCTGTCCTGATTGAAACCTGGTAGGCATGGAGGCCTTGTGACTATGGGACAAGACCTATTTATAAGCTCATGGGTCATCCCCTGCAAAGACTTTACCCATTAATGAGTATCTTCAGGAGTGGGGGGAACTCCCACATCAAATTAGCTCAGTGATTATAGCTTTCCTATGATAGTTAATAATTATTTTCATAATAGGGTCGAGTCTATTGGAAACTTTTTCTTCCATTCTTGAGATATAATCCAATTGTAGTCCAAGAATACAGGGAAAGGGGAGAGGGAGGGGAGAGGGGAGGATGGGTGGAGGGAGGGTGATTGCAGGGATCACGCCTATGATTTTTCCTATAAGGGTACATGTGAATCTTTCTAAATGTCGAATATAAATGTCTTAACACAACAATTATGAGAATGACATGAAGGCTATGTTGGCCAATTGGATGAAAGTATTTTAAATTGTATATGGAAACAACACACTGTATCCCATGATAGTATTAATGTGCACAACTATGATTTAATAAAACTTAAAAAAAAATTAACTCAATGAAATGTGCTCTTTTAATTCCAGAAACTGAGTGAAAAGACTTGTATTCTGCGTTTTTGTCGAGGCCTAGCGACCTGGGAGAGCATGGTGGGGCCTTCAGGCAAGGCGTAACAACTTCCCGCATGGAACCCTGACTATGCAGTCAGTCACCTTGCCAGATAAGGGTTGATATGGCCCATCTGTGCAGGAGTCATGGCTCAAAGGTTGACGTGAGTGAAAAACTCTGTCGTAAAAGCAGGGGGCTTCCAAACCACAAGAAAACAGAGTCATTGACCCTGTTTCTCGGAAACTTAATTGAATACATGGAAGAAAAAAAGTTTTACTTCCCTGTTTGTCCTGACCTTTAACTTTGACAATGGAAGTCAGATAATGTGGGGTTGTTTTAGGTCTTTAGAGAGGAACAGCCTGAGGTTAGTCTTAAGATGCGTATCTTACTTTCCTGGACTTTCTGTCTTTTCTATAGTTTAAGATAAGACTAGAGAATGTTAAGATTATTGATCAATGTGGTGTACGTGACTAGCTTAATGTAAAAGGATTCACGAATAAAGACATTTTGCTACCTGCCACCAAAGAGCAGTCGCTGTTTCTTGCTTTCATTCAATTTCAGGAGCGAGCTTGCACCCACAGCCAAGCTGTCCTCTCCCTGCGAGAAAAGTATCACCCAAGAAATGGTGTAGTCAAGACGCAGGCAGGAAAGAAACTAATTTAGCTTTGCTCTACCAATCAAACTCCCCGAGCTGGGGAAGGACGGAGACAAGACAGATTGAAATGGGGTGTCAAACAACTCCACAGTGGAATTTCGACTCACTTTTCCGGAAGAAAAAAATTGGAAAGGCTGAAATAACGATGATGGTGGACATTTGATCAGGCCACAGTGATCTGTGGTGGCCAATTTTTTGATCTCGTCAGGGGATGTCAGGAGAAAGTTTGTGCACAGTAAGGTTCTGTTGACACGTGGCTGAGATGCATCTTAATTTCAGAAATGTTAACACCTAGGGCTTCACAATTAATAGACAGTCCTCAAGTTACAAACATCCAGCGGATGTAGGACTCTCACTAATGGAGGAGGGATGCTATTATAGGTAATAGCCAAATGCACCTGTTACAATTTACATCTACATTCAATTTAAGAACAAACCTAGAGAACCTATCTTGTTTGTAACCTAGGGAATGCCTGCCACTTCTACGCTGTGGGTTGGGTTATCATTCTTTTTTTTTTTTTGCAGTTTTTGCCTGGGGTTGGGTTTGAACCCACCACCCCCGGCATATGGGACCAGTGCCCCACTCTCCCACTCCTTTGAACCACAGGCACCGCCTGGGTTATCACTCTTTTAATATTGTCCTTTTATGTGAAAATGTTTTCCCCTTTCTTTCTTTTTTTTTTTTTTCTGAGACAGAGTCTCAAGCTCTCTCCCTCAGTAGAGCGCTGTAGCATCATAGCTCACAACAACCTCTAACTCTTGGGCTCAAGTGATTCTCTTGCCTCAGCCTCCCGAGTAGCTGAGACTACAACAGTCACAGCGCCTGGCTATTTATTTATTTATTTTTGGTTGTAGTTGTCATTGTTGTCTTAGTTTGTACAGGCTGGGTTCAAATCGTCCAGCCTCAGTGTTTGTGGCTGGCATCCTACCCACTAAGCGACAGGCACCACCTCCCCCTTTTATGTGTTAAAAATGCAATCCCCAACCTAATGGTTTTAGGAGGTGAGCCATTATCCAGGAGAGAGGTCCTGAGGATAGAGCCCTTATAAAGAGCTTATAAAGTGTCCTTATAAAGGGGTGGTGCCTGTGGCTCAAAGGAGTAGGGCACCAGTCCCATATACCAGAGGTGGCAGGTTCAAACCCAGCCCTGGCCAAAAAAGAAAAAAAAAAACAGTGTCCTCCCCAAACTCTGCCAAACACATGTCTACATTCTATCTGTGTGGATTTTCTAATTTTGGATATCATAGGTGATATATATTCATTTCATTTCTCCTTCAACAGGCAGAAAACTTTTGGCAGTAAGGCACTTTAAAATCTTACGATGTTTTACCATCTCTTATTTTATGAACTTAGCTAGTTTAGATCATTCGCTGTTGCCACGGAAAAAAGCTACTGATTTTCTTACGTGGCTTCTGTGTCCTGTGAGTT